CCCCCCCCCCCCCCCCCCCCCACGGATAGGTCTGGCCCTGGGCTCTCTGCTGACACCTAGCAAGACGGCAAGCCCCCTGGTTTTCTTTCCGGCTACACTGGCTTGAACACGAGCGATGCCCTGGTATATCCTTGTATATATTTCTGCGTGATTTTGCTAAAAGGGGCCCGCTAAGTTTTCGGTTGAACACGGGCATCGCCCGTGTTCTTTCTTGATCAGTCCATATATATACTTTAGCTGAAAGCTTGAAACGCATACCACAATTACGAGCTCGAGTGGGAAAATTTCCGTCATTTAAGTGTAAGATATGTAAACCCTCCCCATTCCCAATGTCGTCAACAGAAGCGCGTACTTTCGTAGGAACTCAGATCCCACGACAGCCACTCTTTATTATTATTATTATTATTATTATTATTATTATTATTATTATTATTATTACAAGTGATACCGGCAAAAGTAAATTATAATTAATTTACACTATATTAAGCTTCGAGTTTAAACCTTAAAATAATTTGATCAAAAAGGGTTAGCTTTTTCGTCTTTCTTCGGTGCCGCATATTTATACGACGAAGTCACGGTTCGTGGTTGTCCGCTAATAGTGAAAAGTGATTCCGTTTCCTTCTATAGAAATGGACGGATGAAAGTTGATCGCTCTTTTTGATATAAAAATCATGTCCAGTGACAAACAAATCATGTCAAAGATAAAGTAAAATCAACTATTACAGCTGCTTCTTTAGTCACGGCACAAGCCGATCGATAAAATGTATTTACAAACCGTAATGAGGGGACACAAATTGCCCGAACTGTAAGGGCTGAGTTTTTCAAGGCTGGGTTAAGATAACCCAGGGTTAGTGCGAGATTTCAATTCAGATTTGAAAGCTTAATAAAACATTTCAGTTTTAATTCTTTTTGTCTACAAGATGATGATTGAAAGCTCTAATAATAAATCAGAAAATTATCCTAGAAAATGCTTCAGAACACAAGAAAAAGAAACCCGGGTTAAATTTAACCCCGGGTTAAGCACTAACCGGCCGTCGAACAACTGGGCCCTGGAGAGTTCCATACAATTTACTGTAACGTCGTTACAGTAAATTGTATGGGACTTTTGGAGCACCTCAGGCCGTATCCGAGCGAGGCGGGATGAATTTATTCTTCGAGAAACTCATAAACATTAAAGTAATACTTTTTCTAATACATGTACTGTTTAGATAGTAAAATTTCCTGAAATAAGTCATTTCTTTTAACCTACATGACAGCTCTCTTGGCCGTCACGCAAAAGCTTAGAAATTCAAGCGTACTCTATCACAAAACCAAGAACCCTTTTGAAGCGAAACTTTGTATGAAAATTAGTTTTCAGCTGCTCTAATGCATCGTGAAAGTAAAATCTCGGAAGGATCCATAGCTTTTTAGTTTGAATTTTAGTGACGTCAAGTGAAAACTAACAATTATAATTATTAATATGCGCATGTCTTACACCTATAGGTGGCCTTATTCCCCAAAGCATCAAGCTATCTCCCTTAGCCTTAGGTTTCTAGGGACCTTCTTAGGATCTTGGCTGTTCCTAAGAAACAAGCTTTCTGGAGCAATGCAATGATCACAGGTGTTCCCAACTCGCTGACCCACATCCTTAGGTGTTTACTCACAGCCCCAAGAGCTCCAATCACAATAAGGATGACAGACACACTTCTGCAGTTCCAGATCATTTGCACTTCCACTTTTAAGTCCTGATAGTGGTCGATCTTCGTCATGTCTCTTTCTCAGTACCCGTGTATTATAAGAGCAAGCTACATTGACAATGAAGTACGCCCCCCTCCTTTTCCAGCACTACAATATTATTATTATGTCCATTCCTTGTAGACTCGGGCAGGATGTTCGGCCTGGTTTATAGTCCTTAGGAGCGGGTTACAACAAATCACCACGGGTCCCAGGTCTCTCTTTTCCTTCTTCTTACAGGGACAGTACTTTCCTTAGTATCTTTGCTGTCCCCAACAATGCTGTTTTCTGGATAACTCCCAATCTCACGTTCACGCCGATTCGCTTCGTGTACTCCTTAAAGATGACTGATACGGCTCCTAGGGCCCCAGTAACAACAAGCACTACGATGACTTTTCGTATGCGCCAGACTTTTACAATTTCATCTTTCAGTAACTGGTATTTTTGTATCTTCTCAAGTTCCTTACCTTTCACCCTGTCATCACCCAGGATGGCAACATCAATTATGACAACCTCTCTCTCCTTCTTATCAGTAAAGACAATGTCTGGTCTTGTTGCCTCAGTTTTCCGATCACACTGGACTGTGAAATCCCACAGTATCTTGAAGTTTTCACTTTCCACCACTCCCTCCGGCTTCTCTTCATACCAGCTATTAGCTCTTTCCAATCCACATTTACCACAAAGTTGCCAGTGGATGTACCGTGCCGCGTTATCATGCCTTCCTTTGTATTCTATAATGACTAACATTATTATTATTATTATTATTATTTTTTTTTTTATATTATTTTTTTTATTGAAATGAAACGTTTTTAATTCGAATAAATTTTTCTTAGTTAAGTTAACTCTTTCTAAGCTAAATTAAGTGCTTTTTAAATCGACAGGAATTGTAAATAGTGTTATGAATGAATAGTTTTTCTTTTTTTCAAGCTAATTAATTGTAAATAGGATTTAAAAAAAATTATTATTATTACTATTATTAATATTATGTTTTTTTTGTTTTGCTACTAATAGTTTGACACTCAGGCTGTTCTATGACGGTCACATTTTTCAAGTATTCTTGGATCCGCGCCTTCTTTAAATCGTAAATATTAAAGAGCTGCATAGTCACAGCTGCAAGCGTATAGGAGGGTTAGATCGATGGCCTCAAAGAAATTAGCTTAAATGAAAGACCTTTAATTTTCTTTTTGGACAAGAGGCTGCTGGAAGTGCGGTAGATGCGCGAGATTCCAAGTCCACGCTTTTTCCTTTCACTTTCGCTCTTGACTGATAATCAGAGCCCATATTTCAAAATTAACCAAGTAAAATATACGTTTTTTTGAAGATCTGGTCGTACATTTCTATTAACGTTTCATATCTAAGAATTCGGTGCTGTACTTCCTACAACTAAGGTTAGTCACCCCCCCCCCACCCATGAAGCCATGGGCTTACGGGCCGGGGGGCCGAGGGGGGCTGCAGCCCCCCCCCCCAAATAAAATTTTCGGCAACTCAGAGTTTTTGGAAAATTTGGGCAAAGCCACTTTTTAAAGAAGTTTTCATGATTATTTTCTTATTATTTTTAAGAGATAAATATTTTCTATTTTAACCTGAAGTCGGCGTAATAATCCAGTTACGTTCACACGAGACAGTGGTTGCCTAGCACGTGATGAGTTTCCGGTTATAAGAGAAGAGTATCATGGTATCATTTGCTGATTTTTTTTTATTGTTGGGCACTGTACTGCACTGCACTAGCTGGAATGGGCTATTTCCAGTCGTGAATTGATTAGAATAACCTGCATAACGTTTTAGAATCACCTTTGCTCGTAGAACGGTTTATGGAAAAATTCTCTGACTATACACTGCTTTTTGACATGAAAGTCTAATCAAGGTGATCAAAGTGACTATATTATATACATATACACCCGTTTTCAAAAAGGTTTTCATACAGAGAGATATATAGATAGATATATACTTTTGTTCCCTTCACGTGCGCCCGTGTGCATTTTTCACTTGATATTGTCCAACTTGTGAAAAACTCGGTTCAACGATGAATTTTTTCGTCGTCGAGTTTTTTGTTCCAATTTGACATGTCGTTTTGAGTTTTTTTTTTTAGAAAAATACATGCGCCTTGCGATACAAATTTGCAATGGCGAATTTTATAGCCTATTTTGGGAATGAGGAAAACATCCCACGAAGCAGCCGATCCGCGAGTTATACGGCGTCACCGAATTGGTAGGCCAAATGCCATGGCATCTGTAGCAAGTGACGAAGCATTTTTATTGATGCAGTGTATTTAAAAATGCGCTGTCCAGGGGCGTGCTTAAGAGAAACTGTAAACTAACTTGAAAGCATTTGTGACCGAGATTGTATTCTGTCTTCAATGAGACGTTGCCTTACAGGCCGTGATTTTACACGAAAAAAGGTGAGACATTAAGATATATGACCAGCTCATCGTGGTTATGATAAAGGCTGCTTCTGTGAACCTCGTCAACGTCTTAGTCCGTTTTAATCAACTCCTATAATATTGTGGCTCCTTCCCACGTATCACATCTTCCTTCTCAGCGGTTTCGAAAACACATTTTTTTTCATTTCATCTGCGTTTTTTAAAAAATGAAAATCTTTGATGTTTTTCCCCTTATCCGGTAACGACAACAATTATATGACCTACAAGTGACCGAATTCCTCATTCTTTAACTTTCAAGAGAATGCAAATCAAGAGAATTGTAGACAATATTCGTGCATTATTTTTTTAACTGACAAATTGGAACCAAGAACCTGACGAAAAGAAAATTTATCGTTGAACCAAGTTTTTTCACAAGTTGGACAATAACAAGTGTAAATGCACACGGGCGCACGTGCAAGAAAACAAAAGTATATATCTATCTATATCTCTATATGAAAACCTTTTTGAAAAGGGTGTATATATATATATATATATATATATATATATATATA